GTGGGGAGAGTGTTTCTGATTTCCTGATCCTGGCCTATTCTGCCTCTCAACCACTGAGCCGGCCTGTTCCTGTTCTGATCTGTTTGCCTGACCAGGCTTCAGACTCCTGCATGGGGCTGCAGCATCTGGGACACTCTGCTGCATCTTGTAGGCAGCCCACTGGCTGGATCCTACCTCGTTCTCAGGACAGCGGCTGAACTGTTAAACCAGGTTAGTGACTCACGCCTTCATATCATCCTCCTTTAGATTTACGTGGTCACTAACCTTTTACAGAGTTTCCTGTGATACACGGTAGCGTCTATGCATTTATGTTTTTGGATTTTTGCTTCTTTTTTTGTTATTAAATCTGCAAGAAACCACCTTCAGCTTCAGTGCATTTGGGTCTTTAAACTTCCACTCAACTTGACAGTAGAAGCAAAAACGCACAAAAACTGAGAACTGGGAATTCAACTGGAAAAAATCTAAATCTAGATAAGTAATTTTTTCTTAAAAGTTCTTGGATTGAGGAGGTCAAAGAGACATTATGCCAATGGAACAAGAACATTTACACTTAAAATAAGAAAACACAATTACATTGTCTTATTTTAAGTGAATATCATGTAAGTATCTTAAGAGTAAGAATACTCATTCCATTGGCAAACTATCTCATTTACCTACTTAAATTAAGGGTAAAAAGACTTAATTTTTACTCATGTCTAGATCTTTTTTCCAGTGCAAGGGGGCAAAGAAACTATAATAAACCAGAAACAGTGACTGAGCAGGAGGTGCATATATGGGAGAGAGAAACAGAGACCAGGCTAATCAGCAGACTGGGAGCAGGTGTGAACAGAGAAGTCTAGAAGGGAGCTAGGAGAAGGAGACTGACACTAGAGGGCAGCAGAGAGCGAACAAGAAATAGCCAAGAACTCAGAATCAAAAATAAGTAGAATAACACAAAATGGAAATAAAACCAATGAAAACTCAAAGATAAAACAAATAGAACTAAAACATATCCGGTTAAAATAAAATGTTTTCAATTTGAAACAAAACATTTGAATGACAATCTTATGCACTGTTTTTTTTAAGGTAATTTAAATAGTGACAGATATCGTGTATCTCGATGATAGCCCAAATATATCATGATATTAGATTTTCCTCATATTGCTCAGCCCTAGTTTGAGGATTCCTGGGAGAACTGAGCATCCAGCCATTTATCTAAAAGGTCTTCAGGTGTCCACCACGTCCCTTTCTGGAATAATAACTCTTCAAACCTGCTGCTGAAGCAGCAAAGCTGTCCCACCAGGCCTTAAACCAAAATATAACCAGCTGCAAACACTGAAGATGCTGCACTTCCTGTTTAGAACTTCAGAGCGTAGAATGAGGACGGTCTCGTTTGCAGGATGACGTTCAGACCAGGAGATGAAGATTAGACCTGTAAGGCCGTGTGACCCGGCTCCGTCCCAGTTTCCCTCCCATCACAGCGCCTCTTTTCTGAGCCACATCTCTGCAGACCTTCAGCTCCCTAAAGCCTCACGCTCGGCTCCTCCTGCTCTAATATTAGCAGCTGCTCCAGCCGCTAACCGGGACAGTTATATTCAGCTGACTTTCACTAGACTTTGACCGAGGACACAGGATGAATGTCATCTATTACCCGATTATTTCTATACTTTTTCTCATATTTTTGTTCCTCGCGTCAGAACTTCTGTTTCCATCTAAAGCCAGTGGGTCTATGGGTGCGAGGAAAAAAAGAAAACACGCCCATCTTCCACTGAAGGCTTTTATATACAGGACATTTGAAAGACCGCCTAATCTATGGGTCCTGCTGACGTCTGCCTACAGGTGTAGAAAAATAAAGACAATCTACACTGCAAAAACAATCTAGAAATATGTAAACACTTCTTAAATTAATGTATCTACCCTTAATTTAAGTTGGAAAATAAGATGATCTGCCAATGGAATGAGTATTTTTACTATAATTGGATAAAATGCACTTGAAATGAGGCAATGCCAATGTTTTTCTTTATTTGAAGTGTAAATTATCTTGTTCCATTTGCAAAATGTCTCTTTTACCTCCTCAATCCAAAAACAAATGCACTTATTTTAAGAAAAAAAATTATTTATCTAGATTTCAAATTGTTCCAGTGTGTGCTGTTGTGTTTCTAAGATAAGCACTGCAAAAAGATCTAAATCTAAATTAGCCAATTTTTCTTACAATAACTTAATTAAGCAGAAAAGTGAGACTCTTTGCCAATAAAATAAGATAATTTATATTTGAAATAAGAAAAAAGCAATTGCATTCTTATTTCAAGTGCTAATTTTCCAATTATCTTATTTTAGGAGAAGGAATATTCATTCCATTGGCATAATAATTAAATAATATGCACATGAAATAAGACAATGCAGTTTTGTTTTCTTATTTTAAATGTAAATAGTCTTGTTCCATTGGCAAAATGTCTCACCTTATCAACCAAGACAAAATGCACTTATTTTAATGACATTTAAATTTAAATGTTTTGCAGTGCAGAAGCAACATTTGATTTATCTTCAGTGGTTGTTTTTCTTCCCTGCATAGATCTGTTGCTCTGAGGGCATCTATGAAGCTGGGCCTGATGGACATTTAACCAGCGAGGATTCAGCCTGTCAGGTGAGCTAACCAAAGTCATCTCCCTCACCTGTGGAGCTGCAGGTATTCCCTGGGCCTGTTGAGAAGATGCAGGAATCGGTCCACTATCTTGTTTTTACCAACACCCTGTGGAGCAACAAAAACAAGCAATTTAATGTGCGTTCAGCAACCTGTGAAACCTGAACGCTGCAGCTGCTCTGCTGGACGGAACAGAAACTCTGAAGTCTCCATCCATCTTCACATCCAACCTCACCGATGACGTCATCATGACTCGCCTCAAGGCTCCTCCAGTCACAGCAGTTTGCTTCTACTGTAGCTTTTTCTCACTATTTTTCAGCTGAAATTTGTTTGTTGAGGACTGAGAGTTCAGCTGAAACTCTGCAGCTCCTCCAGAGGGACTGTCAGGGGTCCCCTTCTCAGTGATGCAGCCCTTAATGTTGGTCAACCATAGAACATCCAATGAGAGGAGGTGGACTCTAAACAGGATTTCTACAACCAATCAGCTGGCAGCTCCCAGGATGAGGTCATCAGCAGCTGTATGCAGAGTGACCTCACAAAAAGATTTCATCCATCATCCATCCATCCATCATCCATCCATCCATCATCCATCCATCCATCATCCATCCATCCATCCATCCATC